TTGAGAAAGAGCTTACGATTGCCAGAATGGAATGCCCGTTGATCTAGTCAACATGACAAAATCTATTGTTCTTCCCCCGTCGCCACAGGTCAGCCGGAGGGATGTTATCACGGGCTTTTGCAACCAGGGATATGCCGCATTTTGTCGTGAATCTGATTAGAGATTGGAGGCAGGCCGGCTTGATCACCCTTTCTGCAGGGGGGTTGGTGATTCAACATCTTCCGTCGTCATGGAATTCAATCATTGTTTAACACTTCATGGTCTTGGTGGTGTTTGCTGCGTACTATCACCGACCGTGCTCTGGTTGAAGAAGGTTGTATGCAAGAAAACGCGGCACGGTACGACCAGACGCGTGCTCCATATACTACTCCACCTATGGCGGAACCCTTGTATACAGCATTCACCGGCGCTCAGGCTGAAGCTAATTCCATTGCACTATTGGAAGGCCGCTACTCCCTGCCCGACCTTCTCGACCCCGCCACTACGGCCTTCCTTTCACATTGCCGTTTTCACAAGGATCACGTACCTGTGCACCTTGAGGTGACTACCTCTGATCATGTGTACTTCTGGTCCCGAAATCCGGAGGACAAAGGCTCAGAACCTCACGGCTTGCACAACGGTCACTTCAAGGCAGCGGCCCAGTCACCAGTTATTGCCTCTTGTGATGCCCTTTATTGAAGGGACGTCTTGCTATGATGTGGATAACGTGTATTGCTAGATTGTGTGCTGTTATGATGGTGTCGCAATATAGCGTTGGACGCGTAATGCTGGCTGGCGTCAACTGTCGGTGCAACGGATGTAACGGGATATGCTTGGCACGCTCCCGTGGAATAGGGAATAACAGAAACCAAGCATCCACATATCCTCAGAATACGAGGTCAGGACGGGACAAATCGATGCAGTCAATGGCCAATACGCACCAACATTGATTGGGACTATCACATGTCTTTGTACGTTGCGGTGATGGAACGGCTTGTGAAAAATCTTGGTTTGGTTCTTCCAAGTAGAAGCGACGCTCTTCAGTCTGAGTGGGGTGAGAAAAAAAACGAGGAGAGGAAATACGATGACTTCACGGCATCCCCTTTATTGTTTCCAAGCTCTAACCACATTCCTCACTGGAATGTGGACATTTTGCGTGGTGGGGTCTTTAAGTTTTATGACGAAGACGGCACATCGACTGAAGATATTGCGCCTGTTCCAATTGTCGAGTTCAGTTATACTGACAACGATTCGGAAGCACTAGGTCATGTGTTAGTTAGACTTCAGGGGAGATCCCTGCCAAACAGAGCATTTACCGCTGGACAAAGCGGACGGCGAGTAACATTGGTGTTCGATGCGTGTTTTCGGTAGTAGGCTGGTACTAGCAAGAGGCGGATCCAACTAGATTTTAGAATTGATATGAAAGACGAGTAGCATAGTTTTGATAATTCTAGTAGTAAGCGCCTTGGTCGCTACATTGCGCCTTGAGAAAGAGCTTACGATTGCCAGAATGGAATGCCCGTTGATCTAGTCAACATGACAAAATCTATTGTTCTTCCCCCGTCGCCACAGGTCAGCCGGAGGGATGTTATCACGGGCTTTTGCAACCAGGGATATGCCGCATTTTGTCGTGAATCTGATTAGAGATTGGAGGCAGGCCGGCTTGATCACCCTTTCTGCAGGGGGGTTGGTGATTCAACATCTTCCGTCGTCATGGAATTCAATCATTGTTTAA